ATGTTCCCACTTCTACTCGTGTATCAATAATGATTGTAGTAGTCTCGAAGGTTTTTGATATTCAAACTTCACTTGTTGACACGTCAACTCTTAGAGACATATTCAGCCACGTCCTTCTCTAATCCTAGCCGCCAGTAAATAGACTTCAAATCATGGTACATCTTGGTGGTTCCAGGGTGTATTGCATAAGCTACCATGTGAGCCTCTTCCACCATCTCATTTCTCAAATTATCTATATTCGGCACATAAACTCATGATCGATATCTCATTAAACCATCAAGGCCATGTACAAAGTCTCAAGCTTTAATTTCTCTCTTATCTTCAAATATTTTCACCATATATTCATCTTGATCTCAAACAATTTTAATCTGATCTAATATCATTGGCCGGACTTTAAAATGCGTTATCAAAGTGTTTAAACCATTATCCTCGAATTGAACTCTTATGTTGCACAAATCATATAGGCTTTATACTAAGGATTGTCTTTCCATAATCACGTGTGCCAAACTCCCCAACAACTTACGGCTTAAGGCATCCACTATAAGATTCACCTTACTGGGATGGTAGAGGATGGTACAATCATAGTCTTTCAACAATTCCAACCACTTATGTTGCCTCAAATTTAGATCTCTTTACTAAATATATACTTAAAGCTCGTGTGATCGGTATACATTTTGTAAGTCTCTCCATAAAGATAATGACGCCATACTTTCAAAATAAACACAATTGCGCTCTTCTCTAGGTCATGCGTAAGATAGTTCTATTCATGCTTCTTTAATTGTTGGGAGGCGTATCCTATGACTCTTTTGTGTTGTATCAACGTGCAACCCAATCCAATCTGTGATGCATCATAATACACAATATAGCCTCTGAATCAATATAGTAGGCTCAACACAAGTGCAAAAGCGAGATAGGCCTTAAGCCTCTAAAAGCTAGCCTCACATGCATAAGACCAATCAAACTTAACTCCTTTCTAAGTTAGCCTCGTCAAATTGGATGCAATTTTAGAAAAATCTTGCATTAAATGTCTGTATTAGCCAATTAAACCCAAAAAGCTTCTAACTTCTATTGTAGACATTGGCCTCGGCTAATTCTCCATAGCTTCGACTTTACTGAGATCAACTTGCACCCCTTGTTCAAACACAACATCTCCTAAGAAAATGACTTTATTCAACCGAATTCACACTTTGAAAATTTAGCGTATAGGCCATACCCAAATCAGGGGTATTACAATAAGGCAAATGGTTTGAACCCTTCTTGAGTGAATGGTCTACCAAAGAAGATGACCGTGAAAGTATATGGATCACTAAGATGGGTTTTGAGCAATCTTCACCATGTTTCTAAAGGATAGAACCACTTGAGAAAAGTCAAGAGATGGTCTGGTTGGAACCTTTCTTTAATGGCCCACTTCAGATTTGATGTAGGGAATTCAATGGCGATGGTATGGAGCTGGCTAAGGTACCATAGAAATGGTAGTAATCCTTTTGGGAAATTGGCATAGTAGGGGATGCAAAAACTGTGGAGAAAGGGATATTCATAGTTTATGCCAATTGGTTTGATGGCTTCGTCTTTGTGTTTGGTGATGACACCAGACTGATAATGGAAGAATTTATCCCTCACTCTAGAGTCTATGGTTTTTAGGGCAATTTGGAATGCAAGCTCTAGAGGGAAATCTGCAATGAGATTAGAAAACCCATTTTTTGAATTTTCATTCTTCCTTGTCCAAAAACTTCCTTGAGTTATTACATGTCAAGATGCAATGAGATTATTCCTTTTAATATCACTTAGGGTGATAAATTCTCCATTAAATATTTATTTACCTTCATATGCTTCATGCTATACCAACATCCATCCTTCATGAGCATAATTGGTTAAAACCACTAAAAATTGTATGAAAGCATAGCATTTTACACGTAAGGAAACTTGATGATAAGTCAAAGGATCACTTACATAAATATTACATGAAAATTTATTTTATAGGTATTTAAATGAAATTCTAAATAAAATTCTCATGGTGGGTCATATTCAATAGGCTTGTTTATATAACAAGCACCCACATTTAGTTCCTTCAATGTATGAGATTGATTCTCATTTCACAAGTGAGGGACATAACCATATGATGGTTTCTCCGCTTTATTAATGTCCAATTTTGATAAAGCATTACTAGGAACATTTTATACTTTGATGCACTAAAAATCTCATAATTATAACACTTTATAATTCCTTCTACAAAGCATGTCTAATTCCAAGGACTTTATTTTGTTAGTTAATAATAACAATTGTAAACATAAAGATAAGAAAGCTTTTATCTAATGTAATGCTTAAAATAATAATAACGTATGTCTATATCTAACCGATTGGCTTATAAAGCATACATTAATTCTATCAATCTCTCACTTGCATTAAAGTTGATTGACGATGTATCTAATATTAAACTCTTCCATGTGATAGTCATATTTCAATTGGTACAAGGCCTTAGTGAAGGGTTCTTCTAGATTATCTTATGTGAACATGTTTAATCTTTATAACACCACGCTTGATTATCTCTTTAATCAAGCAGTAATGCCTCAATATATGTTGGGATCGCGAATGAGACCTTGGTTTCTTTGCTTGTAAAACAGCTCCATTGTTGTCACAATATAATGCCTCAACAATTCTAGAAACCACACCTAGTTCAGTAATGAACTTCTTGATCCAAGTTCCCTCTTTTATCATCCCAAACGACAAGATGTATGAGTTGGATTGATTTATTTTATAAATAGTTGAGCCTACGCTAGAATGTTTCTTTATGTTAGAGAGTTATCATTAGAATATAAAATAAGGTTAATACAAATAGCCTATTTAAACTTAGTAGCCACTTTTTCTTTTGGTGGAGGAAACAAAAGAGAAAAAGAAGAGAATTTCACTAGCATTTCTTATGTAGGATTGAAGATTTCTAGGATTAAGTTTAAGAATAAAAGTCAAATATTATTGCTGGATTTATCTTTATAAGTTGAGTGAAAGCTTTTTTTTATTGGAAAAATATCTTGTTAGACTACAAGAATTTAGGATTAAAGTTTATGAGAAAAACCATTGTCATGCTCGACATGGAATTCAAACTCCAGACATGCAACATTAATAACAATTTGTGCATAAGGATTTTCTAATCCCGCTTGATACAATGCTTCAATATTATCATTATGACTTCTTGATAATTGTTCCATTTTATATTTACCATGTGAATTTCTTATTGTTTATGCATCGATGAAGCCTTTATAGAAAAGGTGCTTCCAAACTTCATTAGCACTTGAAAACTTGTTGTTTATACATCAGGGGTAAGGATATCTAATCTTATTTCCATTCACATATTTGTGTTCACTGAAGGCGGAAAAAATAAATTCCTCAACAACATTTAAAAATTCATCCATCTTGATCTAGTCAAGAATATATCCAAGACCAATCTCTTTCCATTGTGTAATTGTAATGGATATATCATGTCCTTAAAAAATACGAAAAAAAATCCCATTATTAGTTTCAACATTGGAACAACATAATGTTAGCATATGTGATTAGACAACCGCAAGGAAATTACATTTTGTTACTATATGTGATTATGATCAATAATAAAAGTTTTTTTTTGTTTGAAAAGCACTAATAAAAGTATTATGAATAAACATTTATTAATATGATCATTAATTTATATTGATTTAAAAGTTTGACATTTTTACTTGAAGGCACTAATCAATATGATCACTAATTATAAGAAATGGAAATCTGATTTAATTAATTATTTAACTAATTATTTTAAATTAATTTAAGTAATGATTATTCAAATAATATAACTAGTTAATTATATTAACCCTAAAAACCCTAAACCCATTTAATTCATTAATGAACAAATTGTTATAAATGCAATTATTTAAATAATCAATTAATGAATATAATAAATTATTATTAATTACATATTAAGTAATTTAATTATAAAAGTACAAATATCATTTAATTCAGTAATTAACAAATTATTTGAAACTTATTTAACGTCCCATAATTAGTTACTCAATTTGACTAATTAACTAGTCTAATTAATGAATTAATGAATTTATCAATTAAAATGCAATTATTAGTGAAATAAATAATTACCTAATTATTTTTAAATTAAATTTAATTAACTTATTTTTAATTATTCTAATTAAATAAATAATTTAATTAATTAATAATTGAATTGAGTAATTAACTAATTTAATTATAAAAATACAAATCTCATATCATTAATTATTTACTAATTAATTTCAAATATTTTAATTAACTAATTGTATTATAAACATGCAAACCTCATATATTTAACTAATCAACAAATTTCCAGATTACTTTGACTTGCAACAAAACCACAACTTAATATCTTATTATAAACTCATCCATTCAATCATTAAATGAAAAGGGGTTGTGACATGGGCGAAAGAGAAAAAGATTGTCCATTATGTAACAAAAGGAACACATGCAATGGTTGACCTTTGCTGGGGGGCAATAATGCAATGTTTAGCCGGAAAAAAAAAAAAAGAAAAAAAGAACCTTCCATACATATAACAAATTCCAAAAATAATTTTTCATTTGCCCCCAAAAGGTTAAGTCAAGATTTGCAATGTGTTTGCATTATCATAATTGTAATATATCATAATTTTGTAGCACTCTATCATCCATTATATGAAAATTGTGAAGAATCCTCCTGGATTAACTATATATTCTTGTCTCAATTTTGGTTTTGATGCATTAGATGAAGTGATCCTTACTCAATTTTTAGTATAAATCATTGAATGTATAATTAAAATTCTCATTTACAAATTAAATAAATGTTATTTATATTTTATGTAAAAATATTTTTTAAAAAATCATTCAATTCAATTAGATTTCTTATATATTTACATAAATTATATTAATATTAACAATAATTTTTTTAGAAAAAACAACTTAAAAATATAATAAATAAATATAAATTGTTATTTATCATTTTAATCTATCAAAATATTTGACAACGTATGTCTTTTTATATAAATTATTGATAAATTTACAATAAACTGATAATAACAGCTTGCGCACGCGTTGCGTGCAGGGAATTTACTAGTTACAAAATGGTCATCTATTGTATATTAAGGGAGACAACTATTCTGTTTTAAAGTGTGAATGAAACAAACGATCATACAACAAATTGAAGAGCCTGTAGCTAGCAGAACAGCTTGTACGGAACACCACTCTCCATCCCAATGGTATTCAGTTTACCGGGTACTCCAAGAATAAGGCTGTCCTTGTTGTAGGACAATTACGTCAAAATTCAGAGAAAAAACCTTCTACATCTATTCAATGCGGTGTTTTGATTCTCTATATAAAGAAAAGCTTTCAATGATTCTCTGCATCTCCAGCAAACCAATTCTACGATACCTCAATTACTGAATCTACTCTTCTACAAACCATCAACAATTTGAAGATGGCTTCGGCTCTTCCCAGGGAATGTATCATAGCATTCTTCCTTGTACTAGCTATGTGCATCCCAAATGTAATGTCTCGTGAGCTACATGAGGCATCCTTGTCCCAGAGGCATGAGCAATGGATGGAGAAATATGGTCGAGCCTACAAGAACGATGCAGAGAAGGAACTGCGATTCAACATTTTCAAAAGCAATGTGGAGTTCATAGAATCATTTAATGCTGCAGGGAACCGACCTTACAAGCTAAGCATCAATGAATTTGCAGATCAGACCAACGAAGAGTTTAGGGCTTACAGGAATGGATACAGGAGGGTCCAAAGACTGACATTAAGAAAGGAGACATTATTCCCGTATGAGAATGTGACGGCTCTGCCTGCTAGCGTGGACTGGAGGAAAAAAGGAGCTGTTACACCCATCAAGGACCAAGCCCAATGTGGTAAGTAACAAGCAAATTCATGCATACAACTAAAGCCTACTTGTATTGATGATCCAAAATAATGAACTACACAATTTCAAACAGGTAGCTGCTGGGCATTTTCAGCTGTGGCAGCGACTGAAGGAATTCACCAACTAACTACAGGAAAATTAATTTCCCTGTCTGAGCAAGAGCTGGTAGATTGTGACACCCAGGGTGAGGATCAAGGCTGTGCAGGTGGTGAAATGGAAGATGCATTCGAATTCATAATTCGTAACCATGGCATTGCATCTGAAGTCACTTACCCCTATAAGGGTGATGATGGGACTTGCAACAAAACAAAGGAGGCCAGCCATGCAGCTACAATAACTGGCTATGAGATTGTTCCTGCAAATAGCGAAAAGGCATTAATGAAAGCTGTTGCGAACCAACCAGTATCAGTGTCCATTGATGCTGGAGGTTATGCCTTTCAATTCTACTCAAGTGGAATTTTCACTGGGGATTGCGGAACTGAACTTGACCATGGTGTTACGGCTGTTGGTTATGGTACCTCCGAAGAAGGTACTATGTATTGGCTTGTCAAGAACTCATGGGGCACAGGATGGGGTGAAGAAGGATACATAAGGATGCAGCGAGACATCAAAGCCAAAGAAGGTCTCTGTGGCATAGCCATGGACTCCTCCTATCCAACAGCCTAAAAGCCAAAATCCCAACATCATGATTAAAATCTTCACCAATGATTTGCCTATCATAATTACTATTTTCTCCAGTTTATTGATACCACTCACATGTAAGAGTGAAAAATGCTTGTCTTGAATATTCTGCACACATTGGCATGAAATATGAATCATTGAAACCAAAACTACAGGATTCTTTGACTCTATCCCCTCACAACCTCATGCAGTTCAACATTAACCTAGACTTTCTGATTACTTGTAAAGAGATACTGCTTCTACATGAAGCTCCTCAAATAAGTTGTCCACGAAGAAAACTCACACCAGTCCCTAAAGTCTGAAAGGCATGATAAATATTCTATAAGCAGCAATCACTCTAAGTTAAAGGGCTTTTGCAATATGTTGGAAAAACTGTCAATTAGCAAGCTTTCTTGTGCTGCCCTGTGCCCCATTTCCCAATGATAACTTAATTGATTCATGCCCCCTATATGCCTTAGCATAAAATCAAACAACTCACCATTCAGAAAGCCACCACTATGCCAAATTAACCATCTCTATAAACTTATAAATCATAGGCATGCACAAAGAAATGGAAAAGCTTTTAGGTGATATTAAGGAATTAAAAAAGAAATGGTGAAATTTCCGTTCAAATGTTTATTAAGAATTGGTTGAAGTGTTTATGTTAAGCATCCTGAAACCTAAGTACAAACAAGTGAGGAAGCCCAACCTAATTATAAAATAACAACAAACCCAAAACCTGACTAGGATGGATAATATCAACCTCCCCATAGATACCATACTAACATCTATAACAGTTAAACGTACCACATAAACAACATATATGAGGAAAAAAACAATTGAGCAACGAATGGAGCAACAAACAGCTAGGGTTCTAATATTCATTAACATTAAGCCTATAAAACCGATTGGCAATGAGAGGAAAAGTCTAACTTGAAGATAAGGCCAGAATAAAAATCTTAAAGTTAAGCAATCCAACATAACAACACTTGACAAACTCCGCTGAAATGTGGGAAGATGCACTAAATAATAAAGAGAAGTTTCACCACTTTGAAACATGTTTAACTTGCCAAAAAACCATTATAGTAAAGAATTTCTAACTGCTAGAACAAACATACATAGAACTGAGGGGTTTACCTGGCAATCTAACATATGCACAAAAGTTACTCAGTCAATATCCTTAAAATTAATTTTATCCACAAGTAAAATTCCAGGGAACATTCAGTTTCAGGCTTCTTAAACAACATCTCGTTATGGTTGGATTAAAAAAAACAAAGAGATGCAAGATTGGCAGTTGCAACTTACACATAATGACTTAAGAGTTTGCAACTTTTACCAGGGTTCAGTCACTGGAACCCAAGATATTTGATCAGATTTTCTACTTCAGAAATATTTAAGTTATTTAATTTTGTTGCAATAAGTCTTTAACGCGTTTCATTATTAATATAAAATGATATATATATATATATATATAGTATCAGCTTATTCATGTCGATTTCACTTCTTTCCAAATCTTTCATTCCAAACATGAAACTAGTGAGAGGATTTGGATTGGAATCAGTATACTCACTGCAAGATATTATGGTAAGAAGCAAAGCATTCAGCATCAGCAAGTGTGGGCTCTTTTGAGAGTTATAACCTATCACGCTTTATTGGATAATGTTGGATTTGCCAACTATGAAGGCAGAAGTGACACTAAAACCAGAATCTTCATTTTTAAAGATTGGCATAAAAATTGCAGATGCAAATTCCAGCAACACTAATTGCATAATTGACTTGATGGTAATTCAAGAACCTTAAATTACCTTGAGAAAGAAAGTTACAGAAAATTACAAGGCGAAACCCTTCAAGTAGTCAGGATCACGCTTGGCTTTCTCCTGAAATTTCTTAAACCATCTATCCAAAATGTCCATAGGCACCACCAACTTGGACCCATCAACCCCACAAAACGACTGCATAAAGTTGAACAAGTTCTCCCCAACTTTCAATGCCAGCCGTTCGATCTTCTTCTCAGCAGCCACATCCATCGACGGCAGTGCAGCTAGATCCTCCACTGACACACCGATCTTGGCGGAGAGAGTGGCAGAATCAGGTGCGGTCAACTGCATCTGGACACCAGCCTCAGGCCACAGCAGGGAAAGCACCGCGGAGGGACGTTGTAGAGTGACGGCGCCACAGAAAACGAAAGGTGAGCCAGGGGACTGAACGTAGACAGCTAAAGCCTTGTCCGGAGGCAAAGTGAAGTTGTTCAAAAGGAAGATGCACATCTCACGAATTTGATCGTAGGCCTCACCAACGAAGGTGTTCATATCGAGGATCCAATGGAAGGTGTCGATTTGGGTGAAGCTGGAGATGTCGATTGGGAAGCTTCGGTTGGGGAATACCACTCCGAACATTTTTCTTGTGACTATGGGCTGATGCTATATGTTCTTCAATGACACCGAGCCACCCAGGGTTTAAGGTTCAGAAAGTGGAGTAGAGGGAGAGCTTTCGTGAAGAGTCTAGTAGCATCTAGAAGAGCTCAGAATATGCAAAGGAATTTTTGCTTCCTTCATTTTGGAGATGCAACCGTGTCGATGCCCCTGTCCCCAGAGCCGAAGTAAGAAAGTACTACTACTACAATGCACACCGAATAGGTGGGTGGATGGGCCAAACTTGCTCTTCCTAGTTTTTGACAACGTTAAGGCTAGATAAGTCAAAACGGACTTGATTTATTGAATCGATCTATTTTTTATTAAAAGTAATATAAGTTGGAGTAAAAAATTTAGATTCATATTAAAATCGAATCTAAATAGATCAACTCATTTGATCAGCCGATTGGAATGGGTTAGGGTGAGCCAGCCTTATGAGTTAAAAAAAAATTAATAATTTTATATGTTAAATTATATAAAATTAATAATTTAGTTACTAATGGTATTACTTATTTTATATATTTCAATATCTTTAATATTTTCTTATCAAATTAATAATTTTAATTTAAATTAAAACTTATTATCTTTTTTTTTATGGTTGTAACACCTTGCACCCTCGTATAGAAGTCAACAAGACCATATCGATAAGACGAAAGGTCAATTAATGCTAGTTTGAGTATTAAAGAACGGTGATGGTTGAAAAGAATATTTTGAAATAAAATATTTCATACGTGAAAAAATAATATTAAAATAATAAAAATAATAATATTTTATCAAAGATGAAGTAGCAAGTTAAAAATACGATTTGGAAGTGAACCGGGACAAAGTGAGATACTTTGAGACCCAAAGAGATAAATAGAGAATTTTGAAATAAAATAATATTAAAATATTATATTTTATCTATTATTGAAATTAATCATGAAAAAAGAATATATAGCTAATCTAAGTGGGAGAGAAGAAGTAAGAAAGAATTTAAAAAAAAAACAACGTTAATGGAATTTGCTTTCTTTTATTAAATAGAGTAAGAGAGAATAAGTATATATTTAAATATTATAGTGATACCTTGGTTAAGTATGAATTTGATATTTTATTTGTACAAGTGTAAAGGAAGAAAAATAAAAAAAAAATTGAAATTAGAGGAATGATGGGAGGACCTAATTGAAAGGAATAAGAAGTTGAGGGTGGAATTGCAAATAATGAAACATAAAAGGGTGAAGTTGTAATTATGAAAAAGTTGATGGATCAAATTACAATTTATGAATGTTTGAAGTACCAAATTGAAAAGGATGAAAAGTTTAGAAAGTCAAATGGTAAATAAGAAAAAAATTAAGGACTTATGTGCAATTTCATCATTTTAAGTTCAATAGAAATTAACTAACAAAAGAAAATTAAATTATGCGAGAGAATGAAATATGCACCTAACAAATACTATTACATGCAAAGACATACATGCAAGGATGTATTTGTAGTGAAAAACATGTGGGACCCCAACCATGTGACAAATAAAAAGAAATGAGACAAATGTAGACGGTGAAATATGCATGTGATTTTACTAGCTAAAGAAAGCATAGAAGATTTATGCATCATGAACACTTGGTGGCAATGTTGGACTAAAATAAAAGAAGTGTATATGCATGTAATGTTATTAGCTAAATGAAAGGCCAATTGAGAAATAATGCAGGAGAATGCATGAAAGCAGTGGATGAAATGGAAATGCATTAAGAATGCATGCATGAAGATAGATTAAAGAATGGAAGGATAATGAAGGGTGGATATTTAACCAATAAAATGAAGAGAATATTGGTGCATGAAGAACCATTGGGTGCCAAGGTGGTCCAATAAGAAACTAAAGAAACAAAACTAAGAAATAACAAAAAGTAAAGGGAAAAATGCAATGAAGGCTTTAGGAACTTGGGCAAACCGTGCCTTTGAGAGAAAAAGAAAAGCAAGGAATCGCTTTGTAAGTTCCACCCACATGATACAGAGAAAAGCGAAGAAAGGAGAGATTTAAGGGAAGGCTCAGTTTTGAAGAAAACCTAAGGCAACCATGAAGATTTCCTACCTTTTACCTTGTTGAGATTTAATATTTCACCATCCAAAAAGAGATTTGAAACTTGGAAGAGGATGCACGGCTAGGTTTTGTGATTCAAGTAAAGAAAAGGTAAGAGAATGGCTTTAGTTTGAATGTATCCTTGGAAATTCGGATTGG